TCTGTGATGCTTCACAGCCTGGGCTACCTTCATATGAATAGTAAATCCGAATACCAGTGCAGAACTTTCTTTTCTATTTCATTTATTCTTTTTGGCTTATAGATAAGGCTATATGGTTATGGGGATGGTGTAACACCTCAATACATACAAACTGACAATAGTCAAATCAAAGTAAACACCTTCATGAGAGTTCTTTGTGCTTGGAGCCTTTGAGCGTGCTTCTCTTCTTGTTCTTTATAAAGGATATGATAGGTTATTGTAAAATTCACAATGCAAAGTAAACCACAGCTGCCCTGCTGTGTCATAAAACAGAATCTATTCTTCCTGGGGCTGCCTCTGTGGTTAGGAGTACGTACTGCTCTCGCAAAGGACCAGAGGTCAGAACTGCCTAAAACTTTCGCTCCAGGGACTTGGCTGCTACATGCAGCGCACTCACATGCTCAAACCCACACTCAGACATACACTTATATAATTCCTACCCTATTGAAAATAAAAGTAACATTCTAAAAATAATCTACACTTCTCCCGACGGCACTTTGAGACTCTGCCTGTTTCCTAGCCACCTTCTACCTCCTCCCTTCTTTTATTCCTGGTCTCCTATCACCGATACTTGACTCTCCTATGCTATTAACTTTTTCAGCTGCCACAACTAAGAGAAAATACGTGCTTATATTTCTGAACCTATTTTAGTGAGCTTGATGTCTTCCACTTCCATGCATGACGCTCCTAGTGACAGAATTCCATTGATCATAAGAATGTGTGTGACCCTAACTGAAAAGCTCTTATGTAAAAATAAACAAACCAAACATAAAAATTTTCAAAAACCGTATGATATTTATAAATTAGTGTCTCTTGGGAACCCGTAATTTACACAAGAAAAAAGTGTGGAACAGTTTCCTTTCTGACAGGGAAGCTATAAACCAAACAGCTTCTGGAAGCCCCTGAAACTGACCAGGTTCACTAAGCTCCTCTCTGCCAGAGTAAGCACAGTCAAGGTGCCAAAAAGACGGAGACAAGCGAGCTGCAAGGACTCTGACACCACCCAGCTACCTGGAAGGAGCAGAAAGCAGTCCAGCTGGTTTAGAGCAACAGAGTCACTTCGGAAGGACACCCTCCAGCCTGGTGAACTGCCTGCAGTGTGCTCCGGGTTCCCAGCTTTGTGGGCTGTCACCCATGCTCTGGTGGCCTTTGGTGATGCAGCTGTCTTTGAGGCATTTTTCAGGTTCTGTAAGTGACCCCTCACCCATACGCCTCCTGTAAGTAACCCCAATAAAACTTACTGATTCACCAAGTTGGACTTCCGTGGTAGCCATACTTTGGTCTGTCATGAGTTTCCTATCTGGGGTGAGTAGATGTGTGTTGTGTCTCCCCAGGAAAAGTTTTGTTACCCAACAGCTGCTAATTTAGAGAGATGAGGAGTGAGATCAGTTCAGAAAGAGTTATTTCCAAATGGAATGTTCATGAAAAGCTGTTTACACTGATAGAGCCATATGCTCACAGAAATTACACTGAAGCAAAAGAGACTGATAGCAAATACCAACAAATAACCTTTAAAATGTAACTTCCTGATCTTTCATTTTCAGAAAACAACCATACAGAGCAAATGGGCTTATGACTTAATACAGATTTGTGATTGGAAAACAAGAGTTATCAGGCTTTTAAGTATCAGAACTGACAAGAAGTAGGAACTTTCACTGTGGTCTGACAATGCCCTCTTCTCACCTCACTCTGCTGTACTGAAGAGAAAGCTTTCAAAATATCACTCCTAAAGCTACAACATACAAATACATTATGTTACCAACTTAAACTATGAAAAGTTCCTTTACTTTAGTAAACACACACACACACCCCTCATTTTACTGGGCACCTTAGTTTTTTCAGGTTTGTCATAGTTTTCCTAAACCCGATATTCTGAATTCTCTTTTTTTCAGTAAAAACTGGTTTAAACATGCTGACTGAATGTACGCCAGCCTACCCAGAGTTCCTGAAAATGGTAGTTATTCCACCCATTTTCTTCTTATAAAAAAAGCAACATATGTAACCTTTGTCTGTAATCTAGAAAAAAATGAATACATTGTCACCTCACAAGATAGTATGTTAATTCAATAAACGATAGAATTAGAGGTGAAAAATGATCAACTTAGATTTAAGCAAGAGTTGGCAAGCTTTGTGAAATATTAACTAAAAGGAAAACAGTACTCCAAGTAAGATTCAAATGGAACACGATTAGGATCTCTGAGTAGCAGAAATATACTAGAGAGCCAGGCATTGTGGAACATGCTCACAACTCAGTAACCCAAGGAGAGACAGGAAGACCACAGTGAAAGAATCTAACCATGTTCAAGGTCAGTCTGGACTACATACCAAAACCCTGTCTAAGAAACAGATGCCAAAAATCCATTTACCAAAAGTACTTAAAAAAATTGAAGAAAATGCTCTGGGTATACTTTATTCAAAGCTTTTTCTCTTAGTGCTTTTTAAACAGCACTTGACACACAACTAACTACCCACAAACGAGAGAAATCCCAGGTAAGGCTGTAAGAGTGTTCGTTTCGATTGGTAAGTAACTTGCAGCAGGAGAGAGAGCAAAGAGCACTTCTAGGAGGGAGGGCTGGGTCTTGGGCCTTCATCAGCTGCTCAGCACACAACACTGCCTTCTCCCCCAACAGCCTGAGCTAAGAAATGCACAGCTGCCACTCAGAAGGCAAGCCAGTTGGCAGCTTTTATTAGAAGTTGAAGACATGAGATAAATAATAATTTTTATACCAATAGTTCTATTTTTCCAGTTTCATTGTTTTTCATCAGACTTTTCATTTTTGTTTTTTTGAGACATGGTTTCTCTGTGTAACTTTGGCTGTCCTGGACTTGCTTTGTAGACCAGGATGGCCTCGAACTCAGAGATCTGCCTGCCTCTGCCTCCCAAGTGCTGGGACTAATGGCGTGTGCCACCACTGCCCAGCCCATCAGACATATATTGACTTCAACATATTCTGTTTTCCAGAAGCAGTGACTGCAAAAGATGTTTTAGACCAGTGGATCTCAGCCTATGGGTTGCAAGCCCTTTCTGGGGGGTGGGGGTGGTTGAAGGCCCTATCACAGGGGTTTCCCAAGACCATCAGAAAACACAGATACTTGGATTATGGTTCATTCTGTGGCTCAGCAGACGGGAAGGCATCAAAGAAACAGAGCTGCTGGTGCGATTCCCCGCATCCACCATCCTATGGACGCAAACTTCCTGGGCTGTGACTTCCGGGATTTATAATATTTTCCAGGCACCTGGTATTTCTCTTGTCCCTTGAACATGCAGTCTTCTCCACCACTTTAAACAAAGCGTCCCTGCATACTTGCTAGGGACAACCTCTCCACTTGCCAGGCATTTTCCCAACTATAACTCAACACAAGGTGGGAGGGCACGGCCAACAAAGGACAGGACGAAGACAGATAAGCCCTGGTTTCATGCCTGTGCTTCAATCAAAATGCAAGCACTTCGTATTTTTATGTCAGCTCAGGTCTCGGACTTTTCTCAATCTTGTTTCCCAGCTTCAGGGCTCTTCAGGTGAAGAGGAAAGGTTAGCATACACATATCTACTTATGCAAACATCTAGTATGTATTTGTATATATTTAAATACATACACACATATTTGCATGTATGAGTATTTTGTCTGCATGTCTGTGCATTGTATGGTACATGTGGAGACCGGAACTGGAGTTACAGGCAGTTGGGAGCCACCATGTTGGTACTAGGAACCCAACCACGGTCCTTTGGATGAGCACTTACATTTTTAAAATTTTTAACATTATTAATCTAGCCTCATCCATCCAAACACAATATTCTTAAACTACTTAAATTTTACCTGATAGTTTTTTTTTTTTTCTCCAGTAGAAAAAGATACTGTTTTGGGGGGCTAGTTTAGTGACTGATTAAAACAAACAAAGCTTTGTTTTATCTGAAGTAAGTGAGATTAGAAGGGTTTTAAAAGTTATTAAGGTGTTTCATAGATAATATAATTTGCTGCACTTAATGTCAGGTTTGCAACCATCTCAGACATAGAAGGGAATGCAAAAAGCACGGGGCATAGAATCAACCCAGCGTGCGGGCGACAGCTGAACGCTTTATTGACCAATAAAGCATCTGTGCCCTCCTCCAGTGTGGCTTATAGAAGGGTTTTACTACTCAGTAAAGAACCCTTATGTCCATTTTGGAACATAACATCTGACTGCTTAGAAATGGTTGTGGGTAATGTCCGTCCTAATCTCGGAAATGATCTTTTTCTTTTCCCATGCAATCAGGTGAAAGAACTCACTGGGCTGAAGCGGGTGGTGACTAGTTTTCCCCGGGGGGGGGGGGGGGCAACGACGACAAAGAATGGGGACTAGTCTAACTTCATCATGGTTTTCTTGCTTGCTAAGAAATTAGTGTCGCGCCTTTTAAGCAGATACTTATTAACTACATACACTTGCCGCTAGCCGCCCCAGAAGCCTCACAGCCTCTACTCCCATCACAGGAACTGCATTTCCAGGACCAGGGCGCTAACCCAGAGAAGAGGACCGTAGGGGCAGCAGGCTGGCCTGGCAGCCGGGCAGTCACTAGGTCCTGTTTCCCCGCCACCCCCACTACCCCAAGCGTCAGCTCTGCCCCAGCGCTGTTAACAGGGCGAAAAGTGCCCTGAAGGACTCTTCCATCAGTGTGGTCCAGGGACAACGAAACTCCCTAAAGGCTACGACACCAGCCCGGCCCCGCCAAAGGCAGGAGGAACCGCACGGGAGTCTTCACGCCGCCTAGGCCTCAAGACACCACATCTCCTTAGACGCCGGGTTCCTCGGGGCCCACCATGCCCCTCCTGGCCCTAGACGCTTAAAAGTCCCTGAAGTCCCGCGATCCCTCAACGCTCAGGGCCATCAGCCTACCACGTCCGCTGGGCACAACAGGCGGAACCCCTCCACCCCTGGGTATGTCAGGCCGACCCAGTTTCCGTCCACGTCCCCGCTTCCTGCCTACCGTGCTTCCGATGGGCAGACATACTGGACCCCAGCCGGGTCCCGGGGCCCTAGCCGCCCACCCTCCGACACAGGAGCTTCCGGGTTCCTCCCGTCTAGGCCCGCCCACAATAGTAGGAGTGCCTAATCAGGACCCGAATTCACCGCCGCCGGATGTCAATCATCCGCATCCGGCGGCGGATTGGTTGGTGTGCAGCGCGGGCGTGGCTTCAGCGCTGCCTCTGGGAGCCTGGCTGTGGAGCCTGCGCGGAAGGCAGGCAGTCGGGTAACGCCGCTCCTGGGGTTTGCCCCTCTGAGGGGAGACCCAGCTGGCGACAGTACGGGCTGTGCACACCGCGGAACTTGAGGTGCAAGCTGGAGAAAGGTCGCTGAGGAGAGAAGGAAGACCGGGAAGCTTGAGGCAAGGTCCCTCGGTGGCCCGCTGTCCGTGCTGCGCGGCCCCCTCTCCACATCTGCCGGCTGGACAGCCGCGCCTGCACGCCGGCCGTGCCCACTGCACCTCCTCTCTACGCGTCGACGGAGCCCTCTCTTTGTGTCTTCCAACCGAGCCACTTTGCTTTCAGCCCAGCGATGCTCTCGCGCTGGGACCCTTGTTCTCTGTTGACACTGACTCTTCGTCCTTGAATTGCTTCTTTAGAAGCACGACCTGCAAGCTGGAGATAAACGTTCAAGAACCGTCAGACCAGAGGGGAGCACGACAAAGAAGACGGTAAAGACCACATCCCAAAGAGCCTGAGCTCTCTGAAGAGAGGTAATGCAGCGAGCAGATGTCTTTGGTTAACTGAGGTAAGTCTGAGCACAGACTTGAGGCGATGAAAGAGGAAGAGCTGACGCTATGAAGAGAACGCCCAAAACAAAAAAGTGCCCGCCTGCCCGTGTTTGGAGATGTAACGCGGGTTTGGATCCGGGTGAGGAAAGGCAGCGCCGCTGGTGTTGTGGGACTCTGAATAGGCACTCGGACGTCTGTGAGAGTGGGAGAGCAGAGATGTCACCGGTGGACTCAAGCCAGGGGGCTCCTCAAACACTGGGTTGGAATCCAGTTTGTATTTGCGTTTTCTGCTCCAAAACCACAAGGTGAGGTGGGTAAACAAGCAAACATTTACAGCAGCCTAAGTGGCAGTGGCTGTTAAGGGCAACATGACTCAATGTTTCTACTGTTTTTCGTTATGTTCCTGGTACCCAGTGAAGACATGCTTGGCAAATAGGCCACACAAGCGGTCTTTGAGTAAAAAAAAAAAAAAAAAAAAAAAAAAATAAATCAATAAATCAGTATCTAATAATTGGACTTTGCTGCTTTATTTCACTTTGCTGAAGATCGTGGAAGAAGCATCTTTGAACTTTCCACGGGAATGTGGAAGATTGATCAGTTTTGAGCCTGGAAGAGAAATGGTCTCATGTAAATGTTAAGGTGGTTTCAGCCTGTCTACTGAGAGGAGGTTGCATTGGGGTGAAGCAAGAGACCGGCCGTTGTCAGCCACTTGCAATAAGGAAGAATGTTGGTAGTTAGCATCTGAGTTGTGACATTGAAGATGGTGGGAAGAAGTAATCAGTGTGGATGGGTTTGAAGGCAAAGCAAAAGAGATTTTCTGACTTGTCAGAATAGTCTATGATAGAAAAGTGGATGTCTAGAATGGGTTCAGGGTTTTGGTTTAGAAGCTGAAAAGTTGGGGTTTCAGGCTGATCTGGGGATCCTCTGGGAAGCCCTTTGTTAAGTAGTGCTGTTCAGCTTTTGATACATAACTTAGGAGATCGTGGAAGGAATAAGTGAGGCCACAGTAGTGGTTAAGAACTAGCCTTAAGGCCTGGCCCACACCTTTGATCCCAGCACTCCGGAGGAGGCAGAGGTAGGTGGATCTCTGTAAGTTCAAGGCCAGCCTGGTCTACAGAGTGAGTTCCAGGAAGCCAGGGCTACACAGAGAAACCCTGTGTCATGGGGAAGAAAAAGAAAGAAAAGAACGGAGCCCTGAAGGCCTCTAACCTTTGGAAAGTTGTGAAATGAGGAGGCCCCAGCTCTGGCCCAAGAGGAGTGACTAGAGAGGATGATGTTGATTGGCAACTGTCCTGCAGTCAGTTCGTCACTTGTGGTAATACACAGTTGGATTTGTTAAGGGCAGGTCTTTAGGATCTTTGGTTATAGTAATTTCATTGGAATACTAGACACAAAAGCATGATGGATAAAGAGAAGATGCTAGGTGTAAAACACTACATCAGCTTCTGCTGCAGTCCCCAAGAACTCCACCAAACGCCAGGGCTCCTGTATTACTCTCAGTAAACCACAAGCACCGTCTGCTCAGCTTCCAGGCTAGCCTTGGGAAACATGGCTGCTTCCTTCTCTCCTTGTTTCTCAGCAGGCCTCCTCAGGAAGATCACATCCATTTTTTTTTTCATTTTAAAGTTGATCTCTTCCCCATACCTACTGCTGTTTTCCAGCTCCTTACCCTACTACCAGAAGAGACATGAACAGAAGAGGTAGTTCATACCAACCAAAAAGACCTTTTAAAAAGCTGAAAATAGAAAGCAATCGTTCTGGGGCAGGAGAGATGGCTCAGTGGTTAAGAACTCTTGTTTAAGTTTCCTGAACACACTTGGTAGTTCACAACCATCTGGAATTTCATTTCTAGGAGATCTGATACCTTCTGCCCTCGAGAGCATCAGATGTGCTCACTGGTGCACATACATACAGTCAGGAAAAATACTCATACACATAAAGAAAAATAAACATTAAAAAAACTCAGTCACTGTAGCCCATTACAGGACCAGAATGCAAAGAACAAAGACAGAAACAGAGAAAGCATTTGACAGAAGTCTAACATTTGTTCATGACTTAGAAAAAAAACCAAAAAACAAAAAACCAAAAACAAAACCTTCTTAGTCAACAATAAGTAAAAGGTAATTTATTCAACTTGATAAAGAATATTTAGAAGCTTTCCTACAAAGATCAGGAACAAGGTGAGGATATCCCCTCGAACCACTGATTATCAATATCACACTAGAAATCTAGCTAATGTAATAAGATAAGAAAAGGAAATAAAAAAACCTATATATTGGGAAGGAAGAAATGAAAATGTCTTTGCAAATCGCATGAAGAAAATCCTAATGTCCTGGTCAAAATCCAACATAAAATTATACTGTGTATAAGATGTTATTCCAAGTCCTTTGAATGTGTTCTAAAACCTCCCAGCGTGTCTGTCAGTTTACATTCATGATGGTTGCTCAGTTCTTAATCTAACTAGTCATTTAGAAGAAAAGGTAAGTCTTTTTGTCCCTGGGTCTTCAGGCCTGTACTTCCTACTGTCAAAACTTTCCCCCACCTCACTCTTTCCCAAATCCTGTCCTTGTTGGGAGCTTTGGCAGAAGTCAACCTCTGGCTTCATCTCATTCATCTCAAACTCTGGTGGTGGTTGCTCAGCAGGGGAAGTGAAGGGGAGGAGGAGGAGGAGGATGGAAGCAATTGTGACGTGTATCTCAGCGTGTATCTCAGCGCATTCCTCTAAGAATCCTCAACAGGATCGAAGCCCCAGGTGCCTGAAAGAAAGATCACCCTGATGGTTGATGGCCACCTGGACCCTAAAGCATGACACATCCTTTATTAACTTTCCTTCCCTTTCCCACTTTTTATTCCTAGTCAGTTTCCAGAGATAAGCCTTTCAAATAAATTACCCACACTCAAATCCATGTCTTGGGACCTACCGTGGGGCAAACCTAGAGAAAGATTTAATGTAATGACTCCTTCATAATAGTTCCTTAACTTCACAAACTATCTGCTGTCCTTTTTATTTATCTCCTTCATAGAGGCAAATGTAATCCGTGATTGAATGTTACTCCCCTAACTTTAGTTATATTCTGGGACTGGATGCATTCCCCGGGGACAATCTCTTTTTCTGTTTTGGTCACAAGTTCACAACACGGAAGCATGTGCTGTAAGCACCACTTGTGTCTCTTTCCTTGTTGTCATTGCATGAGATAGCACATAAATGAATGGAAGATGGCGACACATGTGGAGAGGAGGAGAAAAAAAATGGATAATAAAAATTTAAACTTGGTATGCAATCTAGATTTTTGTTTTGAGGTTTGGAAAGCCGTATTTCACCTTTTTGTGATAGTGGAAACAGTGGAATATGCTAAAGCCACTAAAGAGAAGTTATTTCAGACTTCTTTGATTCATTGATGTATCTCTCACATATTTAATATTTTGCTTTTAAGGACCATTCAGTTGATTGATTATATGAAAACCCTCTTATGCGGATTGTTTCTATGTAAAGATCTTGGAATTTTGGAAAATACTGGGTTGTTCACCTGTCCCTTTTTCTATTCTGAGCCTATTCATCTTTCTGTAAATATTCATCCTGCTGGTTAAGTTTTGTTCATTTCAATTTCTTAACAACTGTGACAAAACCCCCCTATTACATTCACATTTACACGGAGCCTAGAGACTTGCCCAAGGTTAGGTAGGTGTAATGGTAGAGGCCCAGAGCCCCACTGTCAAACTATTTCTTCAGTTGCCAGCACATTTTACTTTAGGCCACAGTAACCTTTCTAAGAAAGATATCATGGGATAACCCCATGAATCTAACCAGGTTTCATGAAAATGTGGCTACTTTTACCAAACTCTTATTGCTTGTCTTCTCGAGAACATACAGGGATTTTTTTTTTCATTGCTCTGATTCACACGCCCATATGCCGCTGCAGCGAACGAGGCTCTGACACCATCCCAATACTGCTTTCCCCTGACCCTGGATCAGGTTTAGAGATTTCTGTTCAAGGAGCTGGGGTTGGGGTGGGGGCACGGGAGGACCCTCGGCTGCTGTGGGCAGGTAACAGGTGGAAACAGGTTGCGTTTCACTGCGCCCGAGGGCAGCTCTGTGCTCTGTCAGTGGTCAGGCTAAGCTTTGGAAGAAATCTGGTCTTGTAGCGCTCCCTCTCTGACCTGAGAGCCCAGGAGGACTTCAACCGGCAGAGCTGGGCACATCTCGGTTCAGACCGAGCTGGACCTTCCCAGGCGCATTGACTTGCGCGTGGGGTTCCCACGCTGACTACGAACACACGGAGCCCTTGCGGCGTGGGACCTCCCTGCTCCCCGGCTCGGTACCTTTACTGTCCTCGAGTGACCCAATGCTCTGCGCGCAACAGTTGGGACCCGCTGTGCGCGGGCTCCCGGGCCTTGCGCGCAGCGCGACCTCCGGGCCAGGCTCGTCACTGGCAGCCGCTCGGCGGCCTGAGCGCTCCCCCTAGGCGCGCGGCGCTGGGCCCTCGCTCAGATGGAGCCACGCACCAGCCGCCCCCCAGTGCGCCGGTGCCTCCCCGGGCGCCGAGTGCGCAGGCGCCGGCCGTGAGGACCGACCGTGCGCCGGGCTCGAACGGGGTCGGAGCGCGCGGCGGCGGCGGCGGCGGCGGCGGCGGCGGTGGCGGTGGCCGCGGCGGTGGACAGACAGACTGAGGATCGACGCGCTGGACCCGAGGCTCCTCGAGCCTGGGGGCCGGCGGCTGTGCCGTGCGCGCCGCCTGGCCTGAGGGGTGGCCACCCTGCCATGTCGCTCGGCGCCCACTGAACTCGCAGAGCCCGAGGATGTCCGCTCTGAGGAAGGTGCGAGACGCGCGGGGCCGCGGGCACCGGGACGCGGGGACCGGGGCGCTGAGCGGCGAGTGCCGTCGGGGCAGGGAGGGGGCGGTGCTGCGAGACTGGCCGGCGTGGGCCCTTCCCGGGCGGCCGCCTGGGGGGAGCGAGGGGGCTCGGAGGAGCACGCTCCGGGAGTGGGAGGACGACCCGGGGGGCGCCCGGGGCCCCGGGCTCCGCCGCCGGCTCCTCTCCGGCCGCGGCGCCCCGTGGCAGGGCTGCTGGCACACGGGCTCCCCGGGTGCGGGAGCGAGGCGGAGGTGTGAAATTCCCCGCTCCGCGAGGCCGGGGACGGGGGTGCAGCCCGGGGCGCCGGCCGGCGAGGGGCTGGGGGGGGCGGTGGGCAGCGACCCGGGCTTCCCCTCCCCCAAGCGCAGGTGGCCGCCCGGCCCCGGGCTGGGAAGGGATGGAAGGGGCCGGGCGCCGGGGTCGCGGGGGCGGGGAGGGGCCCCTGGCGGCCGGCGGGGCCCGGGCCCGGGGCCGGGAGGGGGTCGCCGCGGCTGGGCCCTCCGAGTGCGAGCCGGGAGCCCGGGGGCTCCTTTCGGGGCGGTTGCTAAGCGAAGCGCTCCCCGGCGCAGGGTTTTGTAACTAAGCCTCCCCCGGCAGCTGCTGTTGCTGTTCTCGGGCTCTTTCCCTAACGATCGCACGAGAAATAATGAGGATGTGATTATTACAGCCCTGCGCGGCGAAGGGGTGGGGGGCGGCAGGCGCCGCGGGCCAGGTGGGCTCGGGCGGCCCGGGGGGGCCTCTCCCCCGCCCTCCCGGAGCCCTCGGGGACCCGAGGCGGGGGGCCGGGGCGCCACACCGAGTTCCAGGAGGTGGGCAAGGGCGGCAGGCGGCCCCTCGGCGGGCGCAGGGTGTCTCAGGTGGAGGGGACCTCGGGGCGCCGCGGCGGCTTTAGCGATTCGCACCCGAAACTCACAGCACCCTGTGTGGCGCTCCTCCACTTGGGGAACGTGCTGCCAGCCGCCCGCATGTCGCTTCTCGCGAAGGGATGCCGATTCCGGCCCGGGTCGGAATCCAAACGCGTGACTGACTTAGCGGCGGCGGCTGCGTTGTCTCGATGAGCGAGTACAAACCACGGCGGGCGAGTTGGCCCTGGCCGCCGCCGCCGCCGAACTCGGCAGCCCAGCATGTGGGCGGTCCGGGGCTGGAGATGAAAGCTCAGCAGGCTTCCCTGGCGTCTAATACTCGGAGGCGGGAGGAAGCGCTCTGGACGCGGAGCCCTGGGATTGATGTTGTGACCAGGGTGGGAACATCAGCCTGCAACCTCGGATCCCGGCCGCCTGCGTTTCGCTGTCCACTCTTACTGTCCACTCCATGCATTTGTAATGAGAAAACAACCTGGAGCCTTAACGTGGCCCAGGACCGCTTCAGGGCACTGTGCAAGTCGGAAGCTGACTTACTTAATTCAACCTCTCCAATACATACGCGCGCGCGCGCACACACACACACACACACACACACACACACACACACATACTTAAAGTACATTATGACATGATTTTCATCTTCATCTTCTCTGTGGAAGGTGCTACATAGCCAAGGCCAAAAAAATTGGTGATATGGTGAGAAATAATAATTTTTGGCAGGTCAGGTTGTTACTCTGGTGTTTAAAAAATGCCATTAATCAGGGTTCTCCAGTAGCCGAATTGTCTTGTGCAGGCAGTTGGGTGACTCACGCAGATTTGGCTTCCATGGTAATTGTAGACTGTGTATAGCCCTTTCTTTTAGATTATGAGACTTTTTCATTACTTAGAAGAGAACAAATTAGAATATTTTATGCCCCACATCTGGTCGCACGGCTGGGAGGCCACGGGGAGCCCTCTGCCAGAGCACAACTGCATGGGCAGAGACATAAACCCGGTAAGAGAGGATGGGGAGGGGTCCCCGGCTACCTCACTTCTCCACTCCAGAGAGCCCATCTAGTAAAGCTGCCCGCAGAGATGCTACTGTGAGCTGGCCGTGTTTCTGTCCCCCTAGTCCCCGCTGAGATCATCTCTTCCACTAAGCCGAGCCTTGCGCTCTCGCTTTGACCTGTACCTTGTATTTTAGGTCAAAGGGCCATCCAGCAAATGGTAAATGAATGCCGTGACAAATAACTCAAAGGAACAGAATTAAAATCAACACGCGCAGACCCCCACCCCCACGGACCAACACGCGCACCTTTTCTTTTCTCTAGAGAAACCTTCCAGGCTGAGCAATGCCCACCCCCTTTCTCACTGCTGCCCTCGGCCTTCTGCAGCCACAGTGAAGTTAGCACTAGAGGAGGCAAGAGACTCATCATAGGTCCCCTGTGCCTGGGGGAGGGCACTTGTGAGTCCGGTAGTTCGGTAGCTGTGTTGTTATTCCTCCAGAGTGACGTCAGCATGTTCCTGCAACTGCAATCTGTTGCTTCTCCTATTTTTGTCCACTTCATTTTTGACAGTGATAGAAATTCCAAATTGAATATTAGAAGCAAAAATATGCTTCTCAGAATTTAATTCATGTACCAAGAACGTGATCAATTGCAGAACTAAACAGTTCTAGTATTTTATTAAGTGTTACAGGATTTTTAATGCTATAATATTCTTTTATAATTGTATTTGAGGCAAAAAAAAAAAAACAAACCCTTCATCTCAGTTGCCCAAGGAGTGGAGTGATACACACTTTGATTGTAGAATTTATGAGGAAGTTAATTAAATATTATTTATTGACCCTTGGAATGGATATGCCATGATCATGCACTGGCTACAATAAAAATAGCTGTGATTCATCATTTTGGCCAGATGGAAGTCATATTTAGAGCATTGCAGTATGTTGGCTATAAAAGAATTAGAGCTTTACCACACAGGAAGTTAGTCGGAAAACATTCTATGCAGTTAAAATTGCTCTTCATTAACCATAGTTTTAACTAGCCTTTGGTTACTGTCTTCTAAGCACTTGCATTTTATCAGCATCTACTGAAATATGCTCAGTTGTTTCTTAGTATTTGTGTGTGGAGGTCTTAAGGGTGGCAATTCACCTGCATCCATAACCAAAGCATTCCCAGTTTTCAGGAGGCCGAGGATCTGGGATTTGCTTCTGACGAAGTGTGGGATTGTAGGTTCCCATGCTGGCATCAAACCTGCAGCTGCCCTTGGTCAGCTCTGCCTTCCAGAGCTTCAGAGCAGTGGCACACAATATATTTGGTTCTTAATCTCTTTGGCAAAGGCGATGGGAGTTAACCAGCTGATTTTCTTGATCCTGCCAGTTTCTCTGAAAATGAGATGGCTTCTCCATCTTCCATCAGTAGCTCAGGGTGTCTTTACAGGGTCCTTTTAGTGGGCCCAGGGGAACCACTGCTGTTCTCTGTGGGTGGGACCCTGTGAGAGATTTTGCATCTAGGGTTGCTGGGGAGATTTTCCTGCTTGTGTGATAAAAAGCTGATACTCTAACATTCAGCCTTTCTCTCCTGACCTTTCAAGAACTAGTCACCTTACTGGTTGCTGGGTTATCAGCCATGAGGTGAATTTATTCTGCTTTGGGGTCCCATGCTTGGGGTGTGGCTGTGGTGAGCCACCTCCTTCCAAGAGTGGGATGCATGATTGGCAGGGCATGTCACAGGCTATGTGACTTTGTCAGGTTGTTCAGTCATTAAAGAATGTGGAACTCAACTCAAACATAAAATTTTTATGTGACTTTTGAGAAAAGAAATTTTAGGAAATATGGATGAAAAGATAGAAGACTTGAAGTTGCTGTAGCCAGCTTACAGCCTCTCTAAAAAGTAAACCTGAATTCCACAGCCCCTGTCTGAGGAGGAGAGAAGGGCCAAACCATCTTTACCTGTTGATTCAGTTATGTGGATGTGGAAATTCTCTTTTTGGATTGGGTCTTCTGTTCATGACAGTCAAGTGGTATATGTAGGTTTTTAGTTTGTTCAGAGATTTCCAAGTAAAAACTTGGAAATTTTTGGAGCTAGATTTGTTCATTCTCAGATGATGTTTTTTTCTCTGGTATTCTTCTTATGTGTTTCTACCAGAACAACAAACAATTTTGAACCAATTATATCTGAAAAGGAATAGACATTTGGACATACTCCTCAATAAAATGGTAGCAGAAAATTTAGGTAACTTTATATATAGTTATTCATTTGTTTAAAAATGATACCCCATGCTGGGCATAGAGAGGGTGGCCGAATAACAGGCACAAATACAAATGGAAGATGAAAGAATGCAGTTGTCCTGTAGAGCCAGTACGGTAGCCAGGCAATATGGAAAGGTGTACTCTTGTGTTTGATCGACATTCATGCTGCTGTTTCTGCGCAAGCTGACAAGTGCCATTTCATCTTGTTGGTCTAAAGGGTGACTGAGTTCAGGTCTTCTGTCACCTGCCTACACAACTGAGTGCCATTTAGCAACCTGGCTGGCCTTGCTGTGTTTTACTTACCCTTCGCCAAAAGGGGGGTAATAGAATATTAACTTGGTGGGATGATGACACGGATTAAATGACTTGATGGCAGTGTCACTGTGAGAAGAATGGTGCAGAATGTTCAGTATGTCTTGACTCTTTCAATTATGAAGAAACAAAGCCAGTCACAGCTCAGTTCGGGTCAGCAGTGCTGGAAGCTATCGGAGTACCCTGACTTTCAAGAACATTGTAGCATTCTCGCTTATTTATATCTTTACCTGTTAATCCTTCAAACAAACAAATTTAAGTGGACTTGACCAACAAAAGCATGGAAGAAATGTTAATAAAATAGAAAAGGCCAACAAGGTAACAACCATCAGAGTTAAAGAAGTTTGTGAGGGTTACATTTAACTATGAGCTCCCTAGGAGCCATATCAACGGAACCCCAAATAGGTAAACCTTTACCTGGCTACCTTGTTGGGTGGACATCACAAATACATAAGAATCATGTAGGTTCTTTCCCAAGCAGATCATCTAGAGAGGAGTTGGGCTGTAATAGAGTAGCTGTTGTATAAATGCAGAAGTGTTTTTCCTGATGTGTCCTATGATACACTAAGATGGAAATCCCAGAAGAGAGCACGAGTGTTTGTCCGTAAGGCACATGCTATCTCAGGGATGAGATGGTGAGACAGCCGGTCTTCATGCCTTTGCATCATTCACAGTCATACTATAGTTAATATTAAAGATATATGTGAACCATGACTTTTATGTATCTGCATATTTCCTAAAGCCTGGTACGTGATGTTTTAGTGTAGGGTAAGCAACCCTAACATGCCGAAGGCACCAGCATAAGGACAGAGTCCTTATGCTTAACAAGTGCTTCTGAAATTAAAATGAGGCTGCCACCTGAAAACACTTTATTAATTGAAAGTACCAGAAAGACATCTACCAGATGTCATAGATTTGCCTTGCCTGATTTAAATGCACTCAGAAACTGGCAATAGCCTGTAGTTGGGCAAAATTAGCTAACAAAAAGCCTATATTATGGTTGGGTGTATTATAACTTATCCAAATAGCTGTACTGGAGGCAAAAAATGGAAGGGCTGTATGGATTCCCTTCTGAATCATCATGAGGCTGGAAAATTGTAAACCCAGTTATCACCAAGTAGAGGCCAGCTTTGTTAGCCCTGACTCACCTCTGGTGTAGTGCCACTTCCTGCTACCGCCCCCCCCCGCCCGTGAAGTTTCGTAAGTGTTTGTCTCAGAAAGGCTCCCCTGGGCCAGTATTGCCCCATGTTGTAATTACACCATGTTGTTTCCCAAATTTGCTAAAATGGAAGCGTTGTGTCTTTGGTTTTAATCGCCCCCTATTCTGGCCCAGGAAGAGCTACTGTGTCAGTGAATGATCCCAGAAGATGCATTCTACTCAGCAAGGATTGGGGTTCTCCCAGCTCTGACTTGCAGCTCCTCTTTGTTCTTCTACCATCACAGTATCTTTTGTGGGGATCCCCTGACCCACCCTATACCACTCCATCTTGTAGCTCTGTGTTGCTTTACATCTCTGATTTGACCATACTTTTGTCATACTTAATAATGTTTTCTTAAAAAAAATTTTTTATGTGCGCTTTCCATGTGCATGTCTGGGACCCCTGGATCAGAAGAGGGAGTCAGAACTTTGGTAACAACTGAAGTTGCAGAGAGTTGTGAGCAGCCATTGGGTTCTGGGAGCTGAGCTTGGGTCCCCGGAAGATCAAATGTACTTTACTG